GAACATTTTATAGGGCCCTATTATTGTTTAAAAAATGACCCATACAAAAAAAAGTATAGGTTTAAAATAAAGGCATGTGGCTTAATTTCTTTTTATTAATTCACCATTTGTTTAACTGATGTTTACTGTTAATTTTTTAGAAATATCAATAGCATTTGTATTAAAACTATATTCACTGAATGTAATCAAAAAAATTGAGAATCGAATCGAGAGCTTGCGAATCAAAATCGAATCGGGACATCTGAATCGATACCCAGCCCTAGCAATAATCATTCATCATTTTGACTCATATCTCTTTTCTCAAAAATGGTTTTAAGTCTGAAATGTGAGTTGTTGTTTTTTTTTTTTCAAAACTTTATTTTAAAGGATTAGTTCACTTCCTTGAAATTAAAGGGGTCATATGATGCGATTTCAATTTTTCCTTTCTCTTTGGAGTGTTACAAGCTATAAGTCATTATAATCAGTAATTATGTCCCCACTGGATGCAACAAATGCCTCGTTTGTAATGGGTTTTAATGTTTTTGTCTAGTCGCTCCGGCCGGGACACGGCATCAACAGTATGGTGAGGGGCGTAACATTTCCGTCACACACTTGAGGTATTCGGCCAATCACAGCACACCTTGCTTTTTCAGACCGATGAGCTTTGTAAAAATCGACGCGTTTCAAAAAGGCAGGGCATAGAGGAGAAACAGTAATGTACAGTATGTGGAAAATAATGTGTTTTTTTACTTTAAACCGCATAAACACATTTCATTACACCAAATACACAAAATAATGTTCTTTTTAGCAGCATCATATGACCCCTTTAAATGAAATGAAAATTCTGTCATTATTTACTCACCCCTCCACTTGTCTCAAACCTGTATGAGTTTCTTTCTTCTGTTGAACACAAAAGAAGATACTTTGAAAAATGTTGGTATCCGAACAGTTGATGAGCACCCTTGATTTCCACAGTAGCAAAAAAAACAAAAATATACTATGGAAGTCAATGGTGCCCATCAACTGTTCGGATACCAACATTTTCAAAATATCTTCTTTTGTGTTCAACAGAAGAAAGAAACTCTTAGAGGTTTGGAACAAGTGGAGGGGTGAGTAAATGATGACAGAATTTCATTCTGGAAGTGAACTAATCCTTTAATATGTAATACATGTTAGTTGAACATTTTTTGTTCATTTAAAATCTGCCCAACTGCTGTTGTTGAATTTATTACAAACTTAACTGTTTTTTTAATTATTTAGTTATTTATTTTGTGGGGGTCGTTAAAATAGGGGTCCCCTGGAAAATAGTTTGGGAACCACTGTTCTAAACGATGATTATTTGAAGTAGGCAACATTTTCTGTCTGCTTTTTGCACTAATATAACACTGTAAACAGTACAGTCTGTACTTCAGATGCACTTTTATTATATAATGCCAAGATGTGGGTAGAGCTAAATTTAGCACAAGGCAAAAAATAAGAAAAAAAAACTAAAACCTTCCTCTCACTAGATTTCAACTAGATGTTTATGTTGTTTGTTTTTCCAGTTTACGAGCAGGGAGGGATGGGGGTTGGTTGGGTGGGGGGATGTGGTTTCCATAGCAACGGGTAGCAGGGACGATCACTGTGGTTGTGGCATGATCAGCAAGCAAATGCAAGCCTAACTTAGCAACCGCTCGCAGCCTGTTGGTTCGCCCCAGATTGTCCCCCATTTGCAAACGACTGACCGCATTACGTAACGTCACTCACTGGATTTATCGCATGCTGTTTCGCACAGCCAGTGTGTGAAGTTCGTGCATTATTTGAACTCATTAAAAAAGACTCAAGCTTGAAATACCTGTAGCTCAGCAGACTGCCGATGGCTCCCTCGTTTGGGAAAGGGTTACTCCCTCCCCAGGGCTACGGATAAGTAGCTCATCATATTCTCCACACAGTGGCATCTCTCTGGGTGCAGTGCAGACTGTAAATACACAGCGGTAATCTAAGCTGGCCCATGAGCCATTGCAGTGTGACAGGTGTCTTACATGTACAGTAGCTCCTGCAAAAATAGCAGCAACAGCAGCTCGACAATTGAAACCGTGATAGCGGTAAAAACTGTAGAGCTTGTACAGTATTAGCTTTTCGCGTCAACGCTTCAAACCAAGTAATGATGTGATGTGACTGAAATCAGCTTAATTATGTGGTGAGCCTCATCCACACAGTGGAAGGAAAACTCTTTGCTGCTTGATGTTTTACTCAGCAAGAGTTGCAGATTGATAGACTGCCCAGTTTTAAGTGAGGTAATGTGAGGAGTTTGTGCAAAATGATGCACATTGGTAATAACTGCAGTCTGACTTGTTTGCAGAAGGATTATCAGCAAATCTCATATGAAGTTAACATGAAATGGCATTTGTAAGACATTTGACTTTCTTAATGTGACGTTTTTGAGTGAAGCATGATTTTGAATGAGAAAAAAATGTGTGGGAATTTATTGTATCCATCAGGAATTTATTGGATCATAAAAAGTGTACAGCCTTTGGATACTTTGCCAACATTCGCTGGTTGAACGTAAGTGGCCTTGGTGAGGTCAGCCGAAAAGATAAAAGTAAATAAATTTGTTACATTTTTATTCATTCATTTAGACCTGTTTTGAGTTAGTTGGGAAAGATTTTTATTCCTTTATGAAGAACTGACATTAACCAGAAATAACACATTCCTGATTACGATCGGTATAGTCATTGTTGGGCTGAAATTATGTTAGACATTTTTATTACTGATAAATGCCTTTTTAATTCTTGGCACTTAATTATTTTATGTTGGGCATTATTTATTTGTAAAGAAAGTATTTTATGAGAAAATGTTTGAATAAAATGTTAAAAGATTAAAGGGGTGGTTGATTGCGATTTCACTTTTTTAATGTTAGCAGAAGTTATGGTTGTTACTTATTGGTAAGTTAACCAAAGGATTCATTAATTCATCAGAAAATAATTGGTAGATTTATCAAAGAAAAAATAATCATTAGATTAATTGAGTAATCGAGGGAAAATAATAAAATAAAATAAAAATAAAAATGATAGGTTAATTAATAGAAAAATTATCAGTTGCAGCCATATAGTTAACATGCACTTATATATTGTATTATATAATCTGTTTATATAGTTTTCTTATTCACCACCATATTTGATATGACTTTTTATTGTTTGCAATGTCTGTTGTCTTTAGAAACAGGTTACTTGTGGATATTTTATTCTATTGATAGCACTAGGTTTAAAAGTTTTGTAAAGGTAAAAAGTATTTTCCAAATAATGTTACTCTTTTTTTTTACTTATGAATGTTATGCTTATATAATAGTTTGTATAGTGGCATTTGTTTTATTAAAATGACAACAAATAACCTATTATTTAATTTGGAAACTATTTTTTTTAACATCACACTATTTTTCCTCACACATAGGGCTGGGTATCGTTCAAAGATTTTTGATACCGATACCTTGACTTCGATACCGGTTCCTGAACGATACTTTTTCCGATACCAATATTAATAAATGTTTTTAACAACGTTTATACACGTCTTTTATACACGTATATATCTCCTGAGCCACTGCACAAAGGAACAAAATGTAACCAACACAATAAATCAGTGCAAAATAGTTTTAATAAAGCTCAAATAGTCTTCAGTTTACACAGCTGTTAGGCTACATTTACACTAGTTAGTGTTCGTTTTAAAACGCATAGCTCAGACAGAATCATGATTTCCATTTATTTTCCACTGATTTACTGATGAGCATAAGCAGCTTCCAGTGCTGTCTGCTTGTGTTCTTTCTTCCATGATCGCTGCTCTGACTCAGAGGTAATAACATATTTAATTTCAGCAGCATTACATGGCCAAAACACACATTAGATGGCAATCGGAAGTTAGGCCTATTACAAACACTCGATGGTGGTTTAAAGTGAGTTTTGAGTAAAAGCGGAATATAAATCTTATTTATTGTCTTATGTAGCATGATGCTACAGTTTGCATGAATGATCACATAACACGTGCTTTCGGTCGTGTAACGTTAGTGTGAACGGACATCTACATATGATCGGAACTCCACGCAGCCCCCGCACTACTCTCCATTGGAAATGAATGACCGGTCTGTCGCTTGTCGTTTGTCGGAGATAGTGGAAAGCCAGCTTGAAATGCAATGGAAACGCCAGTATGACGAGGATCGTTTTCATTTTAAAACATAAACGCACCAGTGTAAATGTAGCCTTACATCTATGAGGAGATACCCCCTGACCATGTAAAGCGCTTTGAGTACTTAGAAAAGCGCTATATAAATGTAATGAATTATATGGGGGCTGGGACGCATTCACACTACAGCCTCGCTTGTGCGCCACATCTCTGAGTGTAACCGGCGTAAACTAGTAGGTGTGTTCGACTTGACACGGACCGACTGTGCAGACCGATCAGTGTATTACAGTACCATGAGAGCTAA